CTGTGAAGCTATTTTTGAGCTCAATCGAAGCTTCGTGAACGTTGTCGATTCAGATCAAAACATGTCTGGATCTGGAGGCTCGGAAGTGAGGACTCCAGTTTTCTCCGGTGAGAACTACGAGTTCTGGAGAATTAAAATGGCAACGATATTCAAATCCCTTGGGTTATGGAATCTGGTAGAGAAGGGGATTGAAACCTCAAATCCGAAGAAGAAGGAAGCTGGAGAAGCATCGAAGGATGATGAAGAAATGGTAGCTGTTCTGATGAAAGACGCAAAGGCTTTGGGAATCATTCAGAATGCAGTCTCGGATCAGATCTTCCCACGAATCGCCAATGCCGAGTCAGCTAAGATGGCATGGGATTTGTTGTACGGGGAGTATCACGGTGGTGATCAGGTACGATCTGTGAAATTGCAGAATCTTAGGAGAGAGTTTGAATATGCTAGGATGAGAGATGATGAGTCTTTATCTAGCTATCTTACACGGTTGAATGAGCTAATTAATCAAATGAGAACATTTGGTGAATCTCTGTCGAATGAGAGACTGGTGCAAAAGGTTCTGATTAGTCTTAGTAAACCTTATGATTCTATCTGTTTGGTTATAGAAAACACAAAGTGTCTAGAGACTGTAGAGTTGCAGGAAGTAGTTGCAATCTTAAAAAAGTCAAGAACAACGGTTTGATCTGCATACTGTTGATACTACTGGGAAAGCATTCTCATCTTTCTCAGTGAGTTCAAAAGAGCAGGATAGGGGTGAAGGTCAATCTGGTTCATCTCAGTTCCAGAAAAATTGGAATAACAAGGGCAAGAAATGGGGTTCAAAACCTAAGTTTCAGCAGAAATTTCCTGCTAATCCTGCACATAATGCACAGTCAATGGGGCAGATAGGTACAAAACCACAGTGCAGGGTATGTTCTAAGTTTCACTTTGGAGAGTGTAGGTATAAAGGGAAACCTAAATGCTATAACTGTGAAAAGTTTGGTCACTGGGCTAGAGAGTGCACAGTAGGTAAATTAGTGCAAAAGGCAAATAGTGCTAATCAGGTAGAGGTGACAGGGAACCTGTTTTATGCAAATAGCACAATCACTGAATCAAAAGTGAATGGAGAATGGTATGTAGACAGTGGTTGTAGCAACCATATGACAGGGGATTCTAAGTTGTTGATAGACATGAAGACAAATGTGGTTGGCAAGGTTCAAATGCCCACAGGGGAACTCATGAATGTGGCAGGTTTTGGTACACTTGTGATAGACACTAGCAAAGGCAGAAAATATGTCAAAGAAGTAATGTACCTACCTGGGTTGAAGGAAAATCTGTTAAGTGTGGGGCAGATGGATGAACACGGTTACTACCTGTTATTTGGGGGAAAGATGTGTAGTATCTTTGATGGACCTTCATTGGATTGTCTTGTACTCAAAGTTGAAATGAAAAAGAACAGATGTTATCCTTTGACACTGATACAAAATGATCAGGTTGTACTGAGAGCAGGTATTTCTAAGTCTACTTGGATATGGCACAAGAGACTAGGCCATCTGCATTTTAGAGGTCTTCAACAGCTTAAGAACAAAAGAAATGGTGCATGGTCTTCCAGTTTTAGAAGAAATGGATGAAGTTTGTGAAGGTTGTCAGTTTGGGAAACAGCATAGAGAGTGGTTTCCAAAGAATCAAGCGTGGAGAGCAAGTAAACCTCTAGAACTGGTGCATGTAGATCTGTGTGGTCCTATGCAGAATGATTCTCTTGCGGGCAACAAATATTTCATGCTTCTTGTAGATGACTGTACAAGAATGATGTGGGTTTATTTTCTGAAATACAAGTCAGATGCATTGATCTGTTTTAGAAAATTCAAGTCCATGGTGGAATTACAAAGTGGTTTTAAGATAAAATGTTTGAGGAGTGACAGAGGGGGTGAATTCACATCTTGTGAATTCAACAAACTGTGTGAAGATGCAGGGATTCAAAGACAGTTATCTATGGCCTATACTCCACAACAGAATGGAGTGGTAGAGAGGAAAAACCGAGCTGTGGTTGAGATGGCAAAAGCTATGCTTCATGACAAAGGACTACCATACTACTTATGGGCAGAATCTGTACTCACAGCTGTCTATATATTGAACAGGTGTCCTACAAGAGCTCTTGGAGAAGTAACTCCATTTGAAGCATTCAGTGGTCGAAAACCTGGAATTGCACATCTTAAAATCTTTGGTTGTCTGTGTTATGTACACACACCAAATGAGTTGAGACAGAAACTAGATGCAAAGAGTGTCAAGGGCATATTTGTAGGTTATGCAACCTGTGAAAAGGGGTACAGAGTGTATGATCCTCTTAGTAAAAAGCTTATACTCTCAAGGGATGTTTGTGTTTGATGAAAATGCAGCCTGGGAATGGAAGACAGCTCCTGAGAACTATGTAACTGTGTTTAATCCTAGTGAGTTATCTGTGCTGCCTAAATGTATCTCATCAGAGACAACTCCAGAGGAAAATGATTATGTTTTGTCACCAAATCTGGCATTTTCTCATGAATCTGTAAGTGATGTGGACAGCAGCATGAGAATGACTCAAGCCTTTGATCACACTCCATTGAAATGGAGGAATCTAGATGATGTCTTGGCACAATGCAATCTTTGTATTATGGAACCTGAAAAATTTGAAGAGGCAGCCAAAGATGAAGCATGGATGAAGGCTATGAAAGATGAACTGTCAATGATTGAGAAGAATGCAACATGGGATCTGGTGAACAGACCAAGTGATAAACCCATAATTGGGGTTAAGTGGGTGTTCAAGACCAAGCTTAATCTCGATGGGACAATGCAAAAGCATAAGGCAAGATTGGTAGCCAAAGGATATGCTCAGAAACCAGGTGTGGATTACAATGAAACGTTTGCACCTGTAGCTAGACTGGATACAATTCGGACTCTAATTGCTTTGGCAGCTCAGAAAAGTTGGAAATTATACCAACTAGATGTGAAATCTGCTTTTCTGAATGGAGTACTCGAAGAAGAAGTTTATGTAGAACAACCAGATGGTTTTGTGATCAAGGGGAGTGAAGACAAGGTGTACAAGCTTTATAAAGCTTTGTATGGTCTAAAACAGGCGCCAAGAGCCTGGTATAGTGAAATTGATACCTATTTTGCTCACTGTGGGTTTGTGAAAAGTCAGAGTGAAGCTACTCTTTACATCAAAGCAAGGGGAGGAGAAATTCTGATTGTTTCAATCTATGTGGACGACATAGTGTATACTGGGAATAGCACTGAAATGTTGAAGGAGTTCAAGGAAGACATGATGACAAAATATGAGATGACAGATTTGGGGCTCCTTCACCATTTCCTTGGTATGGGAGTGATTCAAACTCACACAAGCATATTTATCCATCAAAGGAAGTATGCTGGTTCTTTGTTAGATAAGTTTGGTTTGAATGAGTGTAAATCTGTTTACACCACTGGTTTCATCAGAGAAGCTATGCAAAGATGATGGCAGTGGTTCAGCAAGTGAGGAACAGTATCGAAGAATTGTTGGAAGTTTGTTGTATCTCACAGCAACTCGACCATATATAATGTATGCTGCAAGCCTTCTAGCTCGATTCATGCACTGTCCTACAAATAAACATCTTGGAACAGCCAAAAAAGTGCTTAGGTACATCAAGGGAACTTTAGATTATGGTCTGGAGTATGTAAAGGGAAAGAATGCAATGCTAATCGGATTCTGTGATAGTGATTGGGGAGGATCTGTTGATGATAGCAAGAGTACTTCTGGTTATGCATTTTCCTTTGGCAGTGGAGTGTTCTCATGGGCCTCAGTGAAGCATAATTGTGTAGCACTCTCTACCGCAGAAGCAGAGTACATCAGTGCCTCTGAAGCAACTGCTCAAGCCATTTGGCTTAGATTTGTTCTTGAAGATTTTGGTGAGATGCAAACTGAAGCGACTCCAGTACACTGTCATAATACAGCAGCAATTGCAATTACTAAAAATCCTGTTTTCCATCAGAAAACCAAGCACATTGACAGAAGGTATCATTTTATCAAGAATGCACTCCAGGAAGGGATAATCGATTTGGTGTACTGTCCAACAAATGAGCAGGTGGCAGACATATTTACTAAGGCTTTGTCTAAGGATCGATTCAACTATCTTCGAGATATGCTTGGTGTGAAATCAGCTCAAAACTTAAAGGGGAGTGTTGAACTATAAGTATTTGAGCTGAAATGTTTTAGAATAAGTTTTGTTTAAATTGGTGAATCCACTTGTGCAGGATGAGGCAAAGTGTAAATGTCTAGTTTTGTAAAAAAGGCCATGAGTGCCATGTGTTGGTAGATCCATGAAATTAGAGAGATGTGTGTCTAGGATGAAATGTAGTAGTTTATGTGGTCCCAAGTTAAGGACCTTCAGTTAATGTAAAGCATGTGAGTGCTCATTTTCTAAAATGAGTAGCAATATTCCTCTGTAAAGCTTTCTGCAGAGAGAAGAACAAGAAACCGTTCGCTTTCTCCAACCTTTGTTCATCGTGTGTTTTCTGTACAGCTCCATCTTCATCAAAACTCTCATTGAAATCAAGTTACACTAACACCTTTGAGACTTAAACAAATAAGCATACAACCAATTTAGCTAAACAAACTAGCAATATGAGCTGGAAATGCAACTGCCACATCAGATCACAATTTACACACTAACAGACTCGAAGTCAGACCATCCGCATATTCCCCAGCCCGTCATCACATTGCCCTTCATACTCTTATTTAATTAATTAATCTCGTGAACATCATTTTTGGACACTAGTACTTTAGTTAATTAAGATAAACCCTCACTTTCCATTTTCTTTGTCCCCAGCTTGTTCCCCACGAAAACCAGTTTTCTTACTTTTCAGCTGAAATTGACTTCTGAAAGTGGTTTTCCTTGATCAGCAAGTAAGCCCCAAAATCTTCCTTCCTATTTGTGACTGTTGTAGTCCTCACTTTGCCAATATATTGCAAGGGACTAGCATCAGTTAGCACATATATTGTTGCACAAATAACCACAGGAACATGGCGAAGCATCATCCTGACCTAATTATGTGCCGGAAGCAACCGGGAATTGCCATTGGAAGGTTGTGTGAGAAGTGTGATGGCAAGTGTGTGATCTGTGATTCTTTGGTTCGTCCATGCACACTTGTTCGGGTGTGGGATGAGTGCAACTACGGATCGTTCCAAGGACGGTGTGTTGTGTGTGGAGGGCTTGGAATTTCTGATGCTTATTACTGCAAAGAGTGTACTCAGCTGGAGAAAGATCGAGATGGCTGTCCCAAAATTGTCAATCTAGGAAGTGCCAAAACAGATCTATTCTATGAACGCAAAAAGTATGGTTTCAAGAGAAGATGATGACTTCACTATTAAATTGAATTGAAATTTCACTTATCTTCCTTGAATTATCTTCTCGTTTTGAATATTCAGGTTAGACGCATTCTGCTTCATTGTGGTATCTCTCTTGTATTTGACTCTTATGAGGTTACAATTTAAAATAATGCTACGCTTACCACATGTATATTTGTATCTAATTCATGACATATTCAATTAGGAAAAATGCTAAAGAGATTACATTTTTGAACCACGTTGGTGTTCCATCTCATGTCATTTAATGAGTTTAGCTCATTGGATGTTGGTTATATGTATCGCATGCCACATCACGTAGTTACCAATATGGTCACCCTAGCATTACTCATTCAATTAACATCTAATGACATAGAATCAACATTGAATGAAACAAAATAATTATCACAAATGCATGGTCCTTTATCTTTTATTACCAACTCATTAGCTTGGACCTCGTTAATTAATTTCATCCCTTATCAATTATCCCTTGTACATTATGAGAACTTTGAATTGGCACTTAGAGTTAGAAATGTGTCATTTGAAAGTTCCTTATTTAGTATCTTTCTGGTCCATTTTGTAGTGTTTCAGTAGTAGCGTTCTAATGTTTGAATTGTTAATTGAAATTGTTGCCTTTTATCAATTGGGTCTAAAGTTTTCCGGTACTTTAAAATTCTCTCATGCAAACACAAGGTAAATGTGTACATTTCAGAATCCTAACACAAGAGCGCCAGTTTGGCCCTTTTTTATTTTATATGTATGGGTATAGTGGATAACTCATTTTTATTAAGGCTATGTTTTGGTGAATAATTTTCATGTCTAGTAAAGGAATAGATCACAAAGGTATGTAAGAAAGATTTGAAAACGACACATTTCAAGTAGGGACTTGAAAACTCCTCCCACGTGCCTTTATAATCCTCATCTGATGCATTTTATAATCCCTCAACATATTTTGTGATTCATTCCTCATTAACTTGGCCTTGGTCCCTGAAACTTGGAAATCCCTCACCCAAAACATAAGGGTAATGTTTTTCATCTTGAAAGAACACATTAAAAGCCTTAGATGTTGGAGTTTCTTGTGCAAAAATAAAAAATTTGTTATAAATATGTAAAAGTTAGAGAGATAACCTTTACTAGTGATAGGAGCGAAGTAGGTGTAAAATATCACACTGAAACTATAGCACAAGAGGATGACAAATAAAAGAGGGAGGAATAGATACTGAAGTATTAATCTTTCCTTTCTTCTCAGTATATCTCTCTTTCATTTAACATCAGTCGGAGCGCTCTATTTATAGAGTAACTCCGTATTATTACAGTTTGAAATTTACAATATATCTTTTGAAAAACGATCTCTTTCATTTCCAAAGTCCACATCTTAACACTGCCAATGTTTTCATTAATATGCGAATGTAGAAAATCCAATCTGTGTGGGCATTGAAAAATCTACCAAGGTTTTCAATATCATTGTGGGCATTCACTATCCCACCAGCATTTTCTACACTCTCCCTTGGATGCCCACATATCAACATCAGTTGCCTTATTAAAACCTTGCTTGGAAAAACCTAGTGGGACAAAACCATAGCAAAGGAAAAAAGTACAACTTTACCTGGATTATTGATATAGTGTTAAGTATGTATATGTTGCCTCGTTAAAACCTTGATAGGGGAAAAATCCTAGTCGAAGGAAAAAGAGTACAACATGCATGTATCATGGATGCTCCCCCTGATATATATCTCCCCTTGATTCCGCATTCTCCAAATTTAGCTGTTTGGTAAGTCAACGTAATCCGATACTTTGCACTAACTTTTGAAACGTGTTTTATATCTTGCAATCTCGTTTTTCTCATTGCGTTTCCTTGTAAATACCTATTTGTAACCCACAAGGTTTACACCAGGCGGGGTTTGGACTACTGGTCTAAAAACATTTCGCCTTTCCAAGGAATTTAATTATGTCTGGATTGCATCTTTCCACTTAGGTCAATCTTCTCTCTGTTTACATTCATCAACAGAGCATGGCTCAATATCATCACTTAATATGATTTCAGTGGCTACTGCGAATGCGAACATATCGTCGATGATTATTTCATTCCGATCCCACAATTCATTTGTACATGCATAATTTATGGAGATTTATTTGCTCTCATGTATTGCTGTCTCTTCATGGACATGTGTCTCATCAAGGACATTTTCTTTTTTTGGAAGTCCAGAATCATGAATTGTAGATTTGTCATTCATCTTCTCTTCTTGAATGATTTCATTTGGATTCAGCTGTGCACTTGTCTTTCTCTTTCGAGGGGCTGAATCTTTTGAACCTGGGGGTCTACCACGCTTCAGGCGTGCTCCAGATAAATCATTATCTGCCGCTTTATTTTGTCCAACAGGGACATCAATCCTTGCATGTGCATTTTCAGCTGGTATATGTTATTTTGTCACTTTTATAGCATAATTAAATGCATCTGGCATTTGATTGACAATGCTTTGAAGATGAACAATCATTTTCCCTTCATTTTCACATTGAGTGCTACGTGGATCAAAATGAGATAACGTGGGAACAACACATGTTAGCTCTTTCCGTTCTTCTGGAACGATCTTTTCTCCCTCTAATGATGGGAAGACTGTCTCATCAAAGTGACAATTAGCAAAATGAGCTATAAACATATCACCTATCAAGGGTTCCAAATATCTGATGATAGATGGTGAATCAAAACCCACATAAATTCCCAGTCTACGCTGAGGTCCTATTTTAGTGCATTGCGAGGGTGCAGTAGGCACATAAACAGCACAACCAAAAACTTGTAAATGTGAAATGTTTGGCTGATGCCCAAACACGAGTTGTACTGAGGAGTATTGGTGGTTGGCTATAGGTCTCAATCAAACTAATGATGCAGCATGTAAGATGGCATTTCTCCATGTAGAAACTGGCAATTTTGTTTTCATGAGTAGAGTGCGAGCTATTAATTGAAGCCGCTTGATCAATGCTTCTGCTAAACCATTTTAAGTATGGACATGCGGAACATGGTGTTCAACATCAATGCCCAATGTCATGCAGTAATCATCAAAGGTTTGAGACGTAAATTCACCATCATTATCAAGTTGGATTGACTTAATGGGGTAATCTGGAAACTGTGCTCATAACTTAATTATCTCATCAAGAAGTTTCGCAAAAGCTACATTTCAAGTAGACAAGAGACAAACATTTGACCATCTGGTAGATGCATCAACCAAAACCATAAAATATCGAAATGGTCCACAAGATGGTTGAATAGGTCCACAAATATCCCCTTGAATTCTTTGCAAAAATGACGGGGATTCAGCATCAACCTTTAGTTGTGAAGGTCTGATTACCAACTTCCCTTGAGAACAAGCTTTGCAAGGGTTATCATTTGTGATAGCAATATGTCTGCTCAATAATAGATGTCCATTGGAGTTGGTAATGATCATACGCATCATGGTGGATCCTGGATGACCCAGACGGTCATGCCAAAGCATGTAAACTTTTGAATCAATGAACTTCTGGTTCATGACAGTATATAATTCTTATGTATGTATAATACAATCCACTCAACAAACCACGCAACTTCTCCAATATACGCTTTTGGGTATCATTGGAGGTAATGCATAGATACTCCACATTTTTTGCACTTTTAGTTTCAATGTGGTATCCATTTAAACGTATGCCTTTGAAACTCAACAGATTTCGAGTAGATCAAGTAGCATACAACGCATTTTGTATGGACAATATTGTTCCATTTGGTAACATAATCTGGGCTTTCCCTGAGCCTTCAATTACATATGATTTGCCTGATATTGTTGTTACCCTTACTTTTGTAAGCATCAAGCTTAAGAAATACTTTCGATCACGAAGTATTGTATGTGTGGTTGCGCTGTCTACAAGACAAATATCTCTGCCATTTCTCATGTTTTGAGAATAACCATAGTTTTTATCCATGCTTTCTGAGTAAAAGGGGATCATGGTTAAAAGCAACTTATAACATGAAATTTGAATGCCACTTTTATTGAATCAAAATGCTAGTTTTAAACTACAAGTTCAGAATAATAAAAGTATATCAAACATAAATGATTTAGTCGAACCGATACACTTCATTCCCCCTTTCCATAATGAAGTTCGAAACATCTAGGTGAGTTGCGTTCAACTGCCTTGATAAGTCACACACTGGATCAGGTATATCTATTGGTTTAGCCTGATCGAGAAAATTAGTCTCGACACCTTTCTCCTTGAAGGAGGCTTGATATAGATCCACCAGATGTTTTGGGGTACAACAGGTATGCGCATAATGCCCATGACCACCATACCTATGGCAAGCTCTTTCAGAATTTCTGGGAGCATTGTTTATGTGAGCTTTGCCTTTGTGGCGATTCATATTTTTGAAGCTTGGGCCTGAATTTTGCCTTGGAACCTGGTTATGAGATTGACCACCATGGTTCTTGCCTTTCCTGTTCCACCAACCTCGCTTGTGGCCACGTCCTCATTTATGATTATCGCCACCAGAGGATGTGGTGTTCACTTCGAGGGAAGCATCATTCACTTCTAGGAATGGTGCAGATCCAGTAAGTTAGGACTGATGATTTTTCATCAGGAGCTCATTGTTTTGTTCAGCTACCAAAATCACAGATATCAGCTGGTTGTATTCAGTGAAGCCTTGCGCTCTATACTGCTGCTGCAGGAGCACGTTAGAGGCATGAAATGTGCTGAAAGTCTTTTCCAGGATATCTTCCTCAGTAATAGTATCCCCATAGAGCTTCATCTGAGAGGTAATTCTGAACAACGCAGAATTATACTCAGCCACTGACTTGAAATCTTGGATCCTTAGGTGAGTCCACTCATAGCGAGCCCTAGGAAGAATCACCGTTCTCTGGTGATTGTATCTGTTTCTTAATGCCTTCCAGAGAGCCAACGGATCTTCAACCATTAGGTATTCACTCTTTAGTCCTTCATCAAGATGACGATGAATAAAGATCATGGTCTTCGCCCGATCTTAAGAGGATGAGCTATTTTTTTTCTTAATGGTATCTCCAAGATTCCCTGCTTCTAGATGGATCTTGGTATCCAGTACCCAGGTAAGGTAATTATTCCATGTGATGTCCAGGGCAGCAAAATCAAGCTTTGCCAAGTTCGTCATTCTCTTTTCT